CCATTTATCCTCACCTATCCACATTGTACCACATTTTTTTTACCTTACCAGTAACTAGCGCAGTTGCAGAACGATCCTTTAGTCAGCTGAAATACACAAACTCCTGCCGTCGCTCTACAATGGGTGAGGATAGATTGTCTGGGTTAGCTTTGCTCTCCATTGAAAGAGTTCGCTATTGAGGTGGATTATAATGAACAGATAAATTTGCTGGAATGAGCCTAGACGAAAAGACTGTTGTAGTTCTTTCCCACATATTTTACACTGCTTCGTTTTGTATTCATTTTAAGTTTAAAATTAAGATAATTAAAAACATGCTTTTATTATGTTTTTTTGAGATTTATGAGCTCACCGTAAAATAAAATAAAATAACAATTATGTACTTCCCTTAAAACTGTATCTTCCTTATGTTTACATTTTATACAAAATAAAAATGAATAATGAGTTTTAAAATATTTGGTATTTGTCATAACACCTTTTTGTGTTTGCTCCCCTTAACTTTAGAATCTGGCGACCCCCCCCCCCCCTTTCCCCTGTCTGATATAAGAAAGCACTCGAAATTATTGTTGTCTTCTTGATGTGCTTATTTCCGTATAGGCCTAACTGAACTGAGTAATATGTATTTTTGGGTGTTGCAACACAGACCTCCCTCCCTCCCTCTCTCTCATATTATATATATATATATATATATATATATATATATATATATATATATATATATATATATATATATATATATATATGTGCATTGAAGTTCCTGAAGGAATTGGGGGACAAATTGATCAGCGCTACAAAAGACCAGAGAGCAAAAAGTTTCTTGTTCCAGCGCCTCAGTGTTGCGATTCAGAGGGGAAATGCCTGTTGCGTCTTGGGCACTAGTCCAACTTCAGAGGAATTCGAAGAAGTGTTTGACTTGCAACAATGATCGAACCCGTCTGTGACATTCATCAATGTTTCCCATTGTTGTGTTTTTCAAGAGATCCATAACCTTTAAGCACCTTTTTGCATTATTATTTTTGTATCAACCCATGTATATCTTGTAACCATCAAATGCATAATAAAGCACAAAAAATAAAAAAGGAAGGGGGTGGTAGGAGAAAAGCACACAGAAACTGTATTGGAGGGGATCTAAACATTCCCTCTAATGCGTTATGCGTGGTTTCCTCCGAGGCTATGGGTCCCCCTTCTTCCAGCTAGAGGTGGTACTCCCTTCCATATATATATATATATATATATATATATATATATATATATATATATATATATATATAAATGGTTAATTTTATGATGTAGACATCTTCATGGAATCATTAGAGATACGAACAGCATATAATTTGTACTTGTCACCACACATGAGAGCTGGGATATGAGGATATGATAAGAAAACGGAACCTTACAGTAGTTAGAATAGAGAAGAACCACAGTAGAAGATACCTGATATATATATATATATATATATATATATATATATATATATATATATATATATATATATATATATATATATATATATATATATATATATTATGTCGTACCTAGTAGCCAGAACGCACTTCTCAGCCTACTATGCATGGCTCGATTTGCCTAATAAGCTAAGTTTTCCTGAATTAATATATTTTCTCAAATTTTTTTGTTATGAAATGATAAAGCTACCCATTTCATTATGTATGAGGTCAATTTTTTTATATTGGAGTTAAAATTAACGTAGATATATGACCGAACCTAACCAACCCTACCTAACCTAACCTAACCTATCTTTATAGGTTAGGTTAGGTTAGGTAGCCGAAAAAGTTAGGTTAGGTTAGGTAGGTTAGGTAGTCGAAAAACAATTAATTCATGAAAACTTGGCTTATTAGGCAAATTGGGCCTTGCATAGTAGGCTGAGAAGTGCGTTCTGGCTACTAGGTACGACACACATATATATATATATATATATATATATATATATATATATATATATATATATATATATATATATATATATAAATTAAGCCTATAAAAGTGTAAGTTCGGTTGTTACTTTCTTTACCGACCCCTCTACAAAATCAATAGTAGAAAAACAGCCATTTTTGTGTGAAACAATACAAATTGCAAACATTGCAACCACTGTCATTAGGTACATTATCATTAGATACTGTAAGTACTATATTTTTTGGCGGCTGGGTTGCAATAATCAGCGCACAGTACTCGTTGAACACGGGGGGGGGGGGAACTGATTGATAGTACACGGGAGACTAAGCCTAGATTAGCCACAAGACAGAATGAAGTACTCTTTGTGTTAAATATAGAAGTGAACATAGCTTAAGGGGGCCCAGGAGTTGTAGTTCACTGCCGGCAAATACAGCCCTGAGTGAGCGGGGTGAAAAAAAAAAATAGTATGATCCATGAGGCTATTCTTAATATCCATTATAATTATGAAATACATTTTCATTCGACCATACAACTCTATAGTTTTCCTCGTGTATGTATGTATATGTGTATATTCATATGTGTATATGTATACATGTGTGTACATGTAAATCCAACTATTCGACCATTAAAAGGAATTGCAACGCTATAGATAAAATTAAAATAATTCAGATTTGAATATTGGGACAGTGTGGTAGAGAGCAGTGCCATATGTGATCAAGTGCATATATCATGTTATCTACTGCTAAATTGCAATATATAATGAATACCCATTAATAGGCTATCCGATTACCTAGCGCAGCTCTCAAAATGAAATATGTTGATGACTAATTGTTGTTGATATTAGTTGCTAATATTATGATGCATCATATTTCAATTCTGTTATCACAACGCACAGTAATATATTTGTAAAATCTTATTGACTGTACAAATTTGTAATTAAAATTATTGTGTAGTTTCTAATACTTATTCCTATATTGATACCTAACTTTACGTAATTACCTATAAAATACATAGTAGACATCTGTCGTATGCTAATTACATTTACAGTATTTTAACATATAAACAAAAACTTTTGACCATGATAAATTACGACTAATGATCGTTTGACCTTTTTGCTAACAGTATATTGATAAATTTCTTCAACTACTGGCACTGTCATTGTATATTGCCGGAAACGGTCTGCGTATTAGTGGCTTTATTTATAAAATATGCAACCCCTGTACCTCCATAATGAATTCGAATGTATATTTTATGAATACAGTTATTTGTATTATTATGCAACACTTTAAATAAATGTATAAATCCTTAAAAATGTATGACAACAATGTAGACATATTCGACTTGATAATGGGTCCAGGACGGACCGAAATGTCTTCGTTTCTCTAATTTCTGAAGTGTGGTTTAGTAATCAATGTAGATGGAATTATAGCCCTCTACGCACCTCCCCACAAATAAAAAAAAAAAAATTACGCTTTGCGTAATAGTGGCTTTAGGCATTGTATGTACTAGCTCTATCTATAAAGCCAACAAACTTTGTAAAATCTCTTTATGTATGTACCTTACCTAAATAAAAATTATTATTATTATTATTATTATTAATTACACCGAAAAGGATTATTTCTTTACCTCACATTCTGTAACGACACCCAACACATAAAATTAATAATTTTGCTGATAATTCGTACCTAAATATGTAACACATCCCTTAAATAATCAAGAGCCTGGCAAATCCTTTCTGGGGGTACATATGCCTGAAATAAAACACTGGTCGTTTATGCACTTGTTTGACCCACCGGCATCCACCGCCTGAAGATAGGAAATCGATACAGCAACACCTTGCCCGTAGACAGAGCAACCTCTGTCTCAACCTCCACCGTCTACCTCAACTCTCTTAAGATAAAAATACTCTTGCCCTGTCCTCCTTCCCCGCCCACCCCAACCAACCCCGTTGCCATCCATCTATCAACCACATCCAATCATCCGCATCCAATCATCCGGCGAGCCAGCAGCCCCAGGGAGATAAGGATCGTGGCCCCCCTCCCCAGCGGGAGATAGTGATCTCCGGCCCGGATGGACTGGCTGATAAGAGCCGGACGGCCTGATAGCTGCAGTGGGGGCGGCCAGTGCTAACTCTCCACGCTGCCTCCGCTCAACCCAAACTATTTTTTTTTTACATTATAAATTCTTCCTCTATTATTATGACCCTCAAACTACCCCATACTGGCTGGGTTTGCTAATTGTTCAAGTGGCTACAGAAATTAGCTCATTGTTATAAGCGAGGTTATAAGTGTTTTGATTTATTAGAGCAATTTTATTGTTGTTTGTGTGTGGTAGCATGCTGTTGACAATTCCATGGAGGTTATTAAACCATAATTACAAACCATTGCTTTGTCGACTTTGGTTGTAAACAACATCGTTCAGGAGATTTCTCCGCAAATTGCGTCACTTCAGGTGTGGAAGCGTAACCATCTTATGATTGACGTACACTTCTAAACACATTGTCCATCACGAAAAGCTTTACAACAATGACACAAAAAAAGCAACACAAAACAATTACAAATCACTAGGAAACAAACACGGTCGAAGAACGCACATGTTGCAAAGCGCAAGGCCAAAAAATACGCTGCTTCTACCACCATCACAAACTCGTACGTACACTCATTAAAACACAACAAAGAGGCTCAAACCACAGACACGGGACACACACACCCCCAACACTTACTTTTGAGCGGCTTAGGATTACTCTGTTTCCTGCGCGACATTGCACATGGGTTGGTTAAGTTAGAGGCGGCCCGGCGGACACATGACACAGTCCTCACGTAACAACCACCAACACACATCTGACCACAACTTTGGGCAACTTTCAAATCCCCGCCCATTCTGACGTCATGAGTAATCCCCGCCCCCTTCTGGCTACGTCACTCTTAAGCTCCGCCTCCACATTAGTGACGTGACTTGCTCTCCGACTATTGGTCGACTCGCCACAAATTTTATGATCCTAGCTGTTGATAAATGTTACTGGCAAGGGGTTGAAAAATTCAATAAATACACGCTGAACAGAAAAGCGTGAAGCGGGTATCCTAGGATTTGTGTAAATAATTAGATATTGTCCATATGCACAACTATGACGTAATATAGAAACAGCGTCTAGTTCAATGACGTCACAGTCAGCTCCGCCATCATGTCCAACTCCATCTTCGACGCCCTCACAGGTATTTCAGTGTTTTAAGGCCCTTTGGTAGACTCGAAACATTCGTGCATGGGCAAAGTCACCTTTTGAATGTACTATTGACGCTGGAGCCGAACCATTAGGCTGAAGCGCACAAATGGTGTCATAAAACAAGCCTACTTTGGTAGTGTGTTTTTCATGTGTGGAGGGCAGAAGGATAGTATCAATATACCGTTTAGACCTGGCTTTGTGTCAGCTTTCGGGTGGTTGGCACTGTGGAGCATGTCACCTCCTCCGTCGGCACTCGCCGAAGGAGTTTGGTAGCGGCTCAAGTTTATCTTGACGATAATTTTAGGGGTAAATCCAGCGACGGGAAAAGCCGAACCTCCTCCCCGTGTAATGGCGAGCCTGGCGACGGTGCCGAGTGGCGCCCCCAGGGCCATCTCTTCCCCCCTTCTGTGCCAGCTGCAGGCACCCTCTGGCCCCGCTGGCTACCACCAGGTCATCCACGAGGCCTTGTGACCTGTGGGGTGGTGAGCGGGGGGTGAGAGGTGGCAGAACACTGCTGGGGTTGGCGGCGGTGTGGCACACCTCACCTGCTTACTTGTTGCGATCACAAAATCATTCAAATACAGTCTTGGACTGTTGTATTGTGGGGGTGTTTTTGTAGGGGTGGGGGTGGGGGGGTTACTGTAGTGAGTGAACACGTGTACGGTGTGGTGATGGGTGGCTGGTGAAGTGTCATGTACAGTACAATAGTCCTAGAGGAGCACGTCAGTGTGTTAAAATGATGTCCACTCGCTCCTCTCTCAACTATTGATATAATATATATATATATATATATATATATATATATATATATATATATATATATATATATATATATATATATATATATATATATATATATATATATATATATATATATATATATATATATATAATAAGATATATATATAATAAGTTACAAGTGGGTTGTGAAAGTCCATCAAATAAACAACAAACCAACTGTCCAAGTACTGTTAGTTTGTTACACATTGTGTCAAACTACAGCACCAAACAAGAGTACAGTAGTAGTACTGTAAGAGTTCCTTTTCCTAACTACTCTTAACTAGGAGTCGTGCTTGTTACTCTGCCAATTCGAGGCACTTGGGTAGTTTGTCCTGCACATCATTTCTCCATTGTATGTACAGTATATGTATGTATGTATGAGTGATATATATAATATATATATAATATTTATATAATATATATATATATATATATATATATATATATATATATATATATATATAATTTATATTTATTGGTAGCAGGTACCAAGGTGCCTGTGTTGTGCAGCAGGAGAGACTCACAAGGCATACTGTGATAACTGTATACGTGTATGATTATAATAAGTGGGAATATGAATAAGCAAGTGTTGATATTGATATCTTGTGGGTGTTGTGCCAGCCTGATACCACATAATAATGATAATAATAGTAATTTAAAAATATACAAAAAAATAATCTACAGTGGTTAAATGTTACAAAGTATGTACAGATTGTATATTTAAGGGCTGTATATTTAAATTTTAATTTAAAATTGTATGTTTTAAGGGCTTAATTTTATTTGATAAGGCCACTAATATGCAAAGCATTTCAGGAATAACTTAAAATAATTTAGTTAGGTTGTTTAAAGGTTTGATGAGGTAGACGCAATACTTAACAAGAAGTAAGTTTTAGTTTAGTTCATTTATTATGCACCCCATACCTATCCTGTGGGTGGTAATGGAAAGGGTTTCAGAGGCACATAATGGGCTCAGGAACTGAACCCTACAGATCATTTGACTAAGCAGGTTATAATCTTGATGAGCTAGTTAAAAATTTCAATACATATTGTCACAACAATTGGCTCAAGACTGACTACAAGTACAGTTTCTAAATTAAGCAACTGATGTGTGGAGAGCTAGTGTCACAATTGATTGATATGTTAAAGAGATTTAGCAGATGATAAACAGTTTTTAAGGCAGGCATGATATAAACAAGGATAGGAGAAAATGATATGTGATATTTACCTCAAAGCCACTAACACTAGTGGCCTCGACGAGGACAGGAAGCCGGCGGCGTGTCGAATGCTCCCCCCCCCCATTGTAGGGGCAAGAGTTATGGGGTAACAACATTAAATGAGAATGGTAACATTTATGAATTGTTGAAGGGTTTAAGAATAACTTTACAATTATAGAAGATACATTTATAAACGGCCATTGTTTATACAGTAGTTGCTAATTTTAAAATTACAGATGAGATTTAGGAAAAAAGACACAATTATTTATGAAATTTAGTAATGGCAGTATTTAGTAACGCTATAGATGTAGATTGACATGTAGGATGAGAAGAGGTGAGGAAAGTTGGTTGCATAAGTGAATAAGCTAGTTCTTAGTTATTCTGTTAAACTGAAAGGAGAACTATAATTTTTTAATTATGTTAGGGAAGTCGTTCCACTGTTTAGGACCCTTGATTTGTAGAGCATTTCTGCTTTGATTGTCGCACATTTGGAATATCGAAAAGATATTTGTTTCGTGTGTTGCCCACGAGTTCTGTTACAGCCCTCTAGGAAGCACATAAGGTCAGGATTAGCATTACATTGCAGAGTTTTATAGATATTGAACATACTTTTCTCCAACACTTTAGAGGGTGTGCAGTGACTTGGTTCATTAGGGTCCCGGTAGTACAGTCGGGTTCATTCTTGACACAATTGAGAATTTCTAGTTCGAAACCCGGGCGGGACAGAAATTGTTGGGCACATTTCCTTTTACCTAGCAGTAAGTCAGTCAAGTTTGTTGTGGGGTCTGTAATTTGACCTCGATATAAGCCTAATGTATATGAATACACTCTGGCTGCCTACCCCCCAACACAATGAATTATTATTATTATTATTATATAATTATAAGTCCCCGTGGCGCAGTAGCAAGACACTCGTCCAATTATCTGGCAGGAAAAAGTATCTTGTCCCAGCTTCATAGGGCTTCCAGGCTATTGATTTGAAGTTGAAGTCACTAAGTACCAACATTCATGATTTATGTTTTAAATGCTCCTACTATAATTTCTGTAATGATCATTGAGGCCCTTTTATTTGTCATCCAGCTCCTGCTCTGTTCATGTGTTGCTTTCTGGTGGACTGTAAGCAAACACACACACACACACACACACGTACATGTGTGTGTGTGTGCTGTTAGCATTACCAAGTAAATACCACATAGGACTTGTTTAACATGTAACATTCTCTTGTCTCAGGAGTAACATTAGAGGGTTCGGCGGGGCTCACGGTGCAACAGCTCTTGGATGCCCCTGATTTAATCCAAAGTACTGTTACTATTGCCGGAGGCTCTCCAACTGCCACATCTACTAGCCACCAATGTGCTCAGCTCTCCTCTGCCATCACAAATGCAACAATAAGTAAGTTTTTGTAATACTCAATTTTTAACCGTTCTTAAGTCATTATGGGCTACTCCAAGGAAATAATGTACAGTATTGTAATTGTGATTACAGGCACTAATACATAGTGGATTCTTGCATGAAAGGAACTATTTGTTCCAAATCTCTACTGTGTTTGAACATTTGCTAGTTTCGTTATTTTGTGCCCAAAATTTGTATTTTTTAGTACAACTCTTAGAATACAGTACACCTTTTTGCATATTTCAATACCAAATCATCTAAAAAAATTTAAATCTTTTGTGTGTCATTACCTAATATTTTACAAATTTGTTAAAGGATTTTGGCAATGCCTTTCTTTCTAGTGAATACTGTATGTGGCCTTGTTTCACTCGAATTCTACCATTATTTTTTCATTTGCAACTGATCACAATTTCATGTTTGGCGAGGCATTCTTCTGCTTCTTAAGTTTTAGTGAACTGGAGCTTTATTTCGGAGATATTTCACTGTATAATATTGTGTTGTATGTCATATCTGTGCTAATTGCTTCACTCTCTCTACCTGATACAGAATGTTTGTGTAGTTAGCCGTGTAGTTACAGGATGAGAGCAATGCTTATGATATCCTGTCTTCCCAGTACTGTCATAGGACGCCTTGAAACTACTGACAGTTTTGGCCACCACCACCACCTCCCTTGTTCCATCCATCTACCACTATTTGCAAAAGTGAACTTTCTAAGGTTTTTTTGGCAGCTTTGTTTCCTCGGTTTAAACCTGTCCCCTCTTGTTTTGTTGAGTCCTGTTACTATTTTGTAAGTAGTGATCATATCTCCTCTTCTATCTTCTAGCTTTGGTATATTTAACACCTCTAACCTCTCCTCATAGCACTTGTTTTTTCAGTTCCGGAGTTTGGATTATTGATAATGTTTGTATCTGCTGTTATACTTTTTTATTGTACCTGTTGCAGTCTATTTAGTTCTAGATTTGCTTGATTAATTTAGGTGTACTGTATATTTTCCTGATCAACAGGATGAGAGAACATTGTGCTAACTGGAAAGTGTTTAAATTGGTCAAACTATATATTGTAATATTTATTAATTGTTAGATTATACTAGAATATTTAAGGATAAATGAGCAATGCCATTGTGTAGTTCTTTCTACACAAAATATGCAGTGGGTATTGTAAATGCACTAGCAGATAGTGCATCTTATGTAGTAATAATAATTGTTGGTGATAATATGCTCACTATTCTTGTTTAACCTTTTCTTTAATAAAAACACATACATTGGAGTCTAGCTTAAATCATTTGGATAGAAAGTAAATTTTTAATATTACAAATTTACTTTCTTAATGATATTGGTATCCAAATACAGTGTATGTAAAAAACGAATGTTCTCTCTTTTACGTTAAAGTTTAAGATTTCTTTCTTTGAATGTTTTGCAGGTGAGGGAGTATCTCTGGATGATGACGATGTCTTCCAGTGTGGGAGATGCAAGAAGCAGTTTTCATCTCTTGATATTTTCATGGTTCATAAACGTGATCATTGTTCAAGTAAGTTCCTGTGATTGATTTAACCAGTTGTAAAGTGTCTTTAAATGCAACCTGGTCTAAGACCAGGCTTTCCTGATAAATAAAACTGCCTATGTCTGTTGCCTTTGGAGCCACATGGCCATCATAACTCAGCTGATCAAGAACTTTGTGGCAACTTATCTAGTTTCCTCTTGAAAACTTTTGTCTTGGTTCCAAAAATATGTATAATTATATAGGCATTATTTTTTATTTTTTAGTAGAAGGTTGAAGACTTGCTGACCCCTCGAGTTGTACTTACGGCACCCCCTCTGTTTAACTGGCTGTTTTCTTCATATTCTACTGTCTCTTTCTCTAGTTAGTTAATTTTATTGGGGATTTTTCTCTCAGCCTTTCAAGTATTTTCCTTTGGCTCGGTAGTTGGCACAGTAGGTTCATAACTGAAAGGTCCCAGGAGTGATCCCTAGGCAGAACAAGATGTTTGAACAGTAAATAGGTACTGTACCTGGAAGTTAGGCAACTGATATGAGTTGCATTCCAGGGAAGGTAAGGTGTTGGTCTATGGGAACCTCAGTACTGTACTGTAGTTCTAACAGACCAACCTGAAAAAGGTACCTTAACAATGGAAAACCATACATTATTGCACAATGGAACCTTGATACTCTGAAAGCCTTGATGATCTGAGCCTGAATTCATCAAACAGTTAATTAAGTTTCCACTTAAGAAATGTATACATGTTTCCTCAATAGTGGTAGCTTAGTTTATATTTAATAAACAGTTTACGACCTCCGAAGCACTTTGTCTCCAATAATAATATCCTGAGGTTGTGAGGTTTCAAAGCACTTAAACTGTTTAGTAAATACAGACTAAGCTGCCATGAGTGAGGAAAGATGTATGGGTTTCATAATTAGACACAGAAGTGCTTGATGAATTCTGGCACTGGATTACACCATGGTTGTAAGTTCCTTACATCCTAGTGTGTAATCTTACACACAACCAGAAAGCCTGAACAATTAAGTTTATATCAGTTTTAATATTTTGTATATTTAAAATTCATTGCTTATACAGTACACTATTTATGTAAAAATACATTATAATCTTTGCAGTAAAAAATACCACAGTTAAAAGCTAAAAATGGCAGAAATTATGATTTGGAAACCTTGATATTTAAGGTGTGTGGCCTGGCCTTGATTTTGAATATGTAGGTTTCACTGTACAGTACTGTATAATACAGATTCTCTCTCATCTCATTTCCAAAGATTACATTTAGGGTACTTGCTTATATTTGTTGTACCCAACATATGTCAGTTTAAGGTTTCTACAATTTTGGAATGTATTTTCCAATGTAAGGTTAATATTTTTTCTGTGATTTGAATGTTACCATTATGCAGATATAAAGAATGAACCACCTTTATGAAAAACTGCTCAAAGAAGAAAACTTGAAATTTTGTATAACATATTTTCTTTGAGAATAACTGAAACGTTGATTGAATAACAGTACTTTGAATCAACCTCACGATTTTGTTTGCTCTTGGCAGTTTGCAAATAAGGATACTTGCAAACCCAAGAAATATTAAAGTATTAGGTGCATATTTTCTACCCACACAAAATCTATCCTCCCCAAAAATTAATTAGGATATTTATTAATACAGGTAAAAATGGAGTGGTGCATACACTTCAAGCAACACAGGGACCTCCTCATTCTTCACCAACAGACCATGGAAGCTTTGAAAGTGAAAGTCCATCTCTTGCCGGCCAAATTCACTTACAAGTTCAACCACAACAAACACAAGTGAGTTTTCTTGAAGTGTGTCTAACTTAGTCTAAAAAAACAATGTTTATTTCAGCTCATTTATTTTTCATCCAAAACCCATCCTGTGAGCCATGGTGGAAAGTGTCCAGAGACATTTATTGGGCTTAGTTCCTGAGCTTCTACAATTGGCTAAGTGAGATAGGGCAATGATGATCTAGATTCAGATTTTGGCATGTATTGTCACGCAACAGGCTCGGGCAATGTGTGTTCATTAGCTAAGCAAATTTAAAAAAAAAAGATGCAACTGTAGTTGTTTAATTATAGTACTGTAGTTAGTATATAGAGCAGTCTTAAAGCAAGTAATAAAGTTCCAGGCAGTACTTAATTGTAATGATATATATAAGTTGTTACGAATACAAATTTTTTGAGTTACGACGTAAATTTTGTTGGAAAATGCAACTCTATTTAAATCAAGACTGTTGTCGGCTAACGACCTTTGTTGATACGCGTTTGGGTCACCGAGCGCCTGTTCCTGGTGGCACGGCCGACCCCACCTCAGTTTACCGGAGCCGCCTGCTTAGTGACGATCGCGCTTGTAAAGAATTTAAGTATTTTTGTGCTTTTTTGTTTTTTGAACATAAAAGTAATTATTATATATCACATCATGGGTCCCAAGAAAGTCAGTGGTAAGGTTCGATCTAAGAAAACATATGGAGGATGACTATAGAGGAAAAACAAGAGATAATTCGTAAACATGAAAAATGGCATGAGGGTTGTTGATTTAGAGTAGAGGATGTCCCTTCCGCATTTAATAAGAAAATGTGTGCAGTATGGGAAGAATTTCAAAGTTTTGCTGAAAAGTGTCACCCAAATAAAGCTGTAGCAGACTGTTGTGTTAACCTTTTTAAAATTAATGTCAATGTGATTCTCACTTCAGACAAGTGTTACAATGTAGGGAAAAAAAAAGTGTCACTAGACAGGTTTTTAGTGAGGAAAACCAGCAGTGAGCCACAAACAGATCCTAGTGGTATGCAGGCAAAACGTAAGAGAGAGAGAGAGAGAGAGAGTACCCCAGAAAAGTCGTCACTGCCTGATGTTATAATGGAAGGGGACTCCCCTTCTAAAGACTAGCACCTTTCCTCACCGTCTTCCATATGCCAACGTGAGTCCTCATTCAAGGTAAGATATATATACTGTATTGTAGCGTTATTTGGTATTAAATGTATTTTTAAGTTAATATTTTTGGGGGTGTGGAACAGATTAATTCAATTTATATTATTTCTTATGGGAAAATTCGTTTCGACTTACAAATTTTCATCTTACAAACCCGTCTCTGGGAACAGATTATGTCGAGGCCCCACTGTATTTATGTTGTACCTAATAATCAGAATGCACTACTTGGCCTACTATTCAAGGTCCAGTTTGCCTAATAAGCAGAGTTTTCCTAAAATTATATTTTTTCTAAAAAAAAATCTTTCGAAATGATAACTTTACATTATACATGAATAATTTTTTTTTAGTTAAAACTAATAAAGAAGTACAGTATGAGCAAACCTACCTAACCTATCATAACCTTACATAAACTAACATGACTAAGTCGGTAATTCATGTTCTTGATATAATATAATAATAATTCCAATAAACCAATTGGAATCATTTTTTGAAAATAATGAAAATCACTCTGCCTATTAGGCAAATTGGGCATTGCTTAGTAGGAAAAGTACTGCATTCTGGCTATTAGGTACAAAATACAGTATATATATTTAGGATATTTGTACTGTAATGCATTAATTCTTGGTTTCTAGTTGTATGATATGTTTACTCACATTTCCCAGGTATCTACAGCATATAGCAGTGGTGGCTTGCCTTCTCCTGGTACCATTATTGTCAATGAAGCAGAACTACTTCCATTTACCATTGAAACTGCTCAGGTGAATATTATTGTGCTTCTAATATACTTGTTTTATTTTCATTAATAATCTTTCACCCTATTGCCATTAAAACATCCTTCACCCTATTGCCATTAAAACATCCATTTAAAATGCCAATAGTGTACTCGCTTGACTACTGACTTATCCTTGTGGAGATGAAGTTCTGGCTCCTGGACCCAGTCTCTGGTTGGCTTTGGTAATGCCTCCCCAAATCCTTGGGTTTTATCATACAAGTATTTATATTTAATGTACATGTATAGTATCTAGCCTCCACTGTTTCCTCTTGGATTCCGCTCACATGCATGCTCCCACCCTGGCCTCCATCCTGGCTCCCACCCTGGCTCCCACCCTGGCTCCCACCCTGGCTCCCACCCTGGCTACCACCCTGGCTCCCACCCTGACTGCCATCCTGGCTCCCTCCTTGGCTGCTGCTTCTCTCTCTCTCTCTCTCTCTCTCTCTCTCTCTCTCTCTCTCTCTCTCTCTCTCTCTCTCTCTCTCTCTCTCTCTCTCTCTCTCTCGTTAGTTCGGTCGGTCGGTCGTTTTTTTTTTTTTTTTTTTTTTTAGATCCAGTATTGACAGAACATCCCCTTCCTTTATTCTCGTGGACTGCTTGACATGTTGATACATGAATGTCTCCAAAATGAGGTTTACAAATCTTCCTGTCGAAATGTCCTCCGTTCTTGCTTCATTGGCCTCCTAGTCTGTTACTTTCAAGTTGAAATCCGCCCAGTACCAACAATCGTGACTTGTTGGTGTATCTATCTGCCCTTTCTACAAATTCTCTCATGACCATTATGAAGCCCTCTTGTTTGTCATCCAGTTTCTCCTTTGTCCGCGTGTTGCTTGCTGATGGGCTGTAAGCATTTACGATTATCTATTTATCATCCTGATTCCAGACCTGCACTGCCAATATGTCAACTACTTGACAGTTTTCAATTATTAACTCTTACCTTCAGGTGTTCTTTCACCAGCACAGCAACTCCTCCCTTCCCCCCTTTCCTTGTTTTGTCACGTCTCCAATTTGAGTAGCCCATTGAGAATACAACCTCATTTAAAATATTTTCTTCAAGTTTCTTCTCTGTTAGTATGACAATATCTGGGACCTTAAGCTGAATTATATCTCTTGGTTCCAGTATTTTTTTTTCTCACTCCATCCGTGTTGGAATATGCAATTTTCAGGAACATGTTCCCTTTTCCTTAGTCCTTCACACCCCCCTTCCTCTAATGATTTTGTTGCTGTGTTTTTATTTACCATTTCACTAGCTTTCCAGTCCATAACACTGTAGAAATTGTTTATTTCTTCTTCATTTCTATTCCCATTTAGAAATTGGCTTCATCGAGGTTTGTGTTCAGCTTTTCCTTGCTGAACAGAAAGGACTTTGAGAGGTCTTGTCTTAATGACCAAAGTTTGCCAACCTCATTACTCTGCAATTTCCTGGCATATCTAAAGCACTTCTGTCATTTGTTTCACTCCATTAAATGTCACCCTAAAGGGGCAATTTTTTTCTCATATTTTCCTGTCCTCCTAAAACAGACATTTTCCTTTGAATTGAGGCCTTCTTTTAGACCTACTATTTTCTCTTATGATTTTCATCTCTTCTGCTGCCCTGTCCACACTAGATGATATTTCCTTTTCTAAACTCCTGAAAATTATTATAGACTTCTATCTGCAGTGTTTTGTACTAATTTACTGTTGGTAACTATTTAATTGACTGCTTTTACTTCTACACAGTAACTAATTTACTGTTGGTTGGTGTGTGTGTGGTTACGATATTTGTTTCATCCACGGTATTATGACTTACGCTCTGCATGTAGTTATCTTCTATACGATAGATGGGCTTCAACATATTGTATGAGAAAACCTCAGAACCAACGTTAAGTGAACACCAATGTTGAAATAGTAATTATAGTTTTGTTCCTCAGGTATTGCCACTGCCAGGGGGGTTGCAGACAGCCAACTTTCTGCCCGTTTCCAGCAGCAATAAAACCTTGTCATCAGCAGTTTCCCCATTGCTCACTACCACCACCACTATTACTACTCCCCTTGTGAGTTTTAAATTTTTTCGTTATCAGGAGTGTTATTCTGCAGATGTTATCAGTGAGTTGTAATTTTTATCTTGAAATATTTCAGGTAATTTATATACACGTGTGTGTGTGTGTGTGCAGGTGTATATATATATATATATATATATATATATATATATATATATATATATATATATATATATATATATATATGTTGTATCTAATAGCCAGAACTGTTCTACTTGGCCTAGTATACAAGGCCTGATTTGCCAAACAGGCAGAGTTATTTTTGTTATTTTCAAATGCTTTTTTGTTTTCAAATTGGCATACAGTATTCCAATTAATATTTGTATATATATTAAGAACCGAGTTACTGACATGATTGTTAGCTTTGGATAGGTTAGTTAGCTTTTCTTTACTATGCACCCCCATACCTATCCCTTGGGCGGTGATGTAAAGGGTTACCGAGGCACATAATTGGTTCAGAAACTGAACCCCCAAGTTCGTTTAGCTAAGCAAATAAGAAGGTTTGGTTAGGTTTGATAAATTTCTTTGTTAGTTTTAAACTCTTAACAAAATTCAAATCATATATAATGCTATGGAAAGTTTTCATTCCATAATAACAAAATTGGGAAAACATATAATTTCAGGAAAATTCAGCTTGTTAGGTAACTTGGCCTAATAGGTATGAGCTTTATATATATATATATATATATGTATATGTATATGTATGTATATGTATATGTATATATATATATATTATTAAATATGACCGAAAAAGTAAGATTAATAATTCTAACACGAATTTTCTTAATCTTTCGTACATTTCTTTTCACTGTTGGAGGTAATTCAAAAATCAATTCTCCAAAATTCATTTTTATTTCTAGTCTGACGCGACACTTGAGCGCGTTTCGTAAAACTTATCACATTTTCAAAGACTTTACACATACTGTACACAACTGAATAGAACTTACGTAAGTTCTGTTCAGTTGTGTATGTGTAAAGTCTTTGAAAATGTAATAAGTTTTACGAAACGCGCTCAAGTGTCGCGTCAGACTAGAAATAAAAATGAATTTTGGAGAATTGATTTTTGAATTACCTCTAACAGTGAAAAGAAATGTACGAAAGATTGAGAAAATTCGTGTTAGAATTATTAATCTTACTTTTTCGGTCATATTTAATAATATATGTCTACAGGAAAGACTGCTACCAAAATATACTAGTATATATATATGAATGTATGTACATATATTTTTGTGCCACAAAATGTAGGTGCAAACAGATCAATCAAAATTTAAGAATCTTTTGATCTAGTAAATTTGAGCTCGAACTAAGTGTATGTGTATTTGAATGTGTAGCTATTATATTTTACCTGATAAGAAGTTGCAGTGGGTGTCCTTCAAGCTGTTAAAAAGTCTGCTGAAGCCTACTTCTGTCCTTTGCAGGAAAAATGGTTTCGTGGATTTTTCTTCTCAGGCTCCTGTTTAGGGAAGAGAACCAGTCACTCTTTTCTTTGTGAATACCAGGTATTAATCTTGCCCTTGTTGCCTTTTCTGGTTTAACTGAACACGATCTTCCCATTTTGGGGAGAGTGAACTATGGCGGTCGCAGACCTTTTGCTTGCCCTTTCTTGGTAGGCTCCGCTTATGGCAGGGGGTGCGGGAACGTTCTGCAGGCCTTTAATCAGGTTCTGACATGTTACAGATGGTGTTTAAGGATCTACCCTTCGTGTCCAGTCACCACCCATCCTCACTTCCTCAGTCTGACTTCCCTTATTGGTATAAAAGATCTTTTCATTTACTTGTGGGTCTCAACAAATACACGAGAATTTGAGAGGTGGTGGATGTCAAAACTATCAGTATTTTCAAAGCATCATATGACAGAGTACTGGGAAGACAGGGTATCACAAGTGTAGCTGTCATCCTGTTACTACACTTTGGTAATTACATATTCTGTCTATCTCAGTCTCTCTCACACACTGTCTCTATCTCTTTATCTTTCTGTCTGTCTGACTGTACCATTATATATATATTGATATTTCCAGGATGTTGGCTCAAACTTAGCATCACCCCAGACACTAACCACAATGGTTGATGTAGATGGTAGTGAGGGTGGAGAAGGTTGTAATGATGAAGATCCAGATCATGAGGAAATGTCTGAAGAGAGAGATGATATTGCTTGCTACAATCATGAGTTCTTCCATGGTGGAATGGCGAAGACAGCACCAAGCAAAAATGAACCCCTGAAACTGAAGGTGTGTTGCTAATGCAAAATATTGTATGCTGAAAACTTATTTACTATTGATTATATTCCAGGCTGTTACGGTATTTTAAATGTGAATACCATATTTATGTTTATGTCCACTTAACATCTTAATAAATGTCAGTTTATATTTAAATCAATTACCTGACTAGTGTAAGTTGCGTGTAAAAAAAGTAAATTATCTCCTTTACCAGCCAAAGCACAGATGCCCCTTTTGTGCCAAGGAATTTAGCAAGAACTTTGATCTTCAGCAACACATTCGTTCACATACTGGAGAGAAGCCATTCCAGTGCATTGTGTGTGGCAGAGCCTTCACACAGAAAAGCAATGTGAAGAAGCATATGGCTACTCATCGGGTGTGGCCCTCTGGCTCTCTTAGTGACACTTTACCGAAAGATCCAATTAAGAAACTTATGATGTCTTCATCAACCATAGATGTAAGTAATGCCATGTATTAATTTATATATTTATACATAAAGCAAATTTTTATAGGGGTAAGGGTGTCAGCACTTGGCTGAATGCAAGTGCTAGTCACTGGTGCTCGGTCATCTGTGCCTATAAAAGTCTCTTAACTCTTCAGTTGCAGGGTATACCATCACATCACAATGATTTTACTATTCAAATCACTTGTGCTGTCCCAACTTTAGTAATGCTCAATACTCATTTTCCCCTTCAGAGCAGAAAAGATTACTGGAATACTGTAGAGGGAATATAGAGAACGTATACGGCATACATAAACACAATAAAGCACGTAAATTATTGGGATCATCTCGAAGCTCTCCAAATGTACTCCCTAGAAAAGAGACGAGAGAGGTATCAAATAATATACAGTACACATGGATAATACTGGAGGGCCAGGTTCCAAATCTACACAGTAAAATAACAACATACTGGAGTGAGCGATATGGGAGGAAATGCAGAATAGCACCAGTGAAGAGCATAGATGCCATAGTCACAGTGAACACTGTATAAATATCAGAGGTCCACGGTTCAATATCCTCCCAGCGAGCATGAGGAATATTGCTGGAACAAACTTGGATGTCTTAAGGAGAAAACTGGATAGTTTTCTTCAAGAAGTGCCAGACCAACTGGGCTGTGGTGGATATGTGGGTCTGCGGGCCGCTCCAAGCAACAGCCTGTTAGACCAAGCTCTCACAAGTCAACCCTGGCCCTGGGCTGGGCTTGGAGAGTAGAACAACTCCTAGAACCCCATCCAGATACAATCCAGTAAAACAAAATTACAAATACTGTACAGTATGACATGAACTCTTGGAAAAAAAAAATAATAAAATAACACGTAGTAGGATTGACTTCATTCTCAACTCGCAATCGAGACTCCCAGGTTTGATTTCCTGGTCGGGCAGAAATGGTTGAGCACATTTCCTTTCACCTATTTCCTCTGTTCACTTAGCATTAAATAGGTACCCAGGAGTTGGTCATCTGTTGTGGGGTTGCGCAACTAACATTCATTTGACCTTGGAGGTACTGTACCTCAATATAAGCCTTAAGTATATATATACAGGCCACCTGCTCCCAACAAAAAAATTATATACAGAGGCATTCTGTCCCTGGTAAAACAAATTATTTTTATTACCTAAAGAGAAACACTTGGAACATAAATTTGAAACAGGAATCTTAAAATTTTTATTTAATATTATCATAGTACAATATTATTTAATATTTATTATATATTATTTTTGGAAAGACCTCTATTCTTCAAATTGAAGACTGGCATGGAGAATGGTGCCTAGAAAGGTGAATTTATTGCCAAAAATTTACGTGGCTGAACACTGGTGCCATGGAAACCTATACAGTAGTGCTCGTTCACTAAAACCAAGTACAGTACAATAGCTCCATATCAATTGCAAATGCAACAACACAAGAACCTCAGAATGAACAAAACTGCAGAAGGCTAATTGGCCTAGGTGAGGCAGCTTCCATTTGTATCCAACCACACCCATACATACATTTGTCTCCCCAACACCTATATTGATACACTATCCCCACATCCATAATGCCACCCAGAAACATGTTCCACAAATCTCTCCAAATTAGCATTTACTCATCTCATCTAAACCTATATATTTTTTTACACCTTAATTTACCTGACGACCATCATCTGTAGCTGCCTTGATTGGAACAGGAAGCAAAGTGCTTGTCACAGTTCACCCTCATTATTCCTGTAGAATTTTTTCAGCCATATTTTAAATTGGTGGACTGTCTTCGTATTTATGACTTTTCATCTGCACTTGGTCATATTTTTTGTGCAGTAAAATCTTAGTTCTTGAAATATATTGTTTCCTTTTCTGAGGGAAGCCCCATCTGCTCCCTGAAGCTAACAGACTGATATATGCTATATTAGTCTGTTAGCTTCAGGGAGCCTCTGGGTCTCAACTCAGAAAATGGGGTGTCATTACATTCAATGCTGGTTTTCTGTGGAGAGCCCCTCCGTCTCCTCAGAGCTTACTGGGCTGATATGCATATATTAGACCGTGGCAACAGTCCTTCGAATGGAGTTCTAATACCTACTGGGGACACGAGCCAGAACCTGGCCCCCTCCTCAGATAGTCACGAGGAGCACTGGCTTATAGAAACCTCTCCCCCTCCCCCCCTGTGGTTGGAAGCATTCTGTTTGCCATCAACTGGGTTAGGCACCCAGAAAGGTAGGTGTCCCAAAACAGACCCCAACTGGTGAAACATTGCTACCACAAGTCGAACTGCTATGCAATACACCCAATCTGAAAACTAGCAAACAAGCAAGCATGACGTCACACCCCGTGGGAGTCTGAAGCCCCCTTTTTCCCTCCCGGGGAGGGGGGAGTTGTGCAAACAGGCGGTACGGCGGCAGATGTAATGTCACGCTTATTTGCTTGTTTTTATTTTCAGATTGGGGAGTTCTGCTTAGCAGTTCGGCTTTCAGGAGCAATGTTTCACCAGTTGGGGTCTGTTTTGGGATGCCTACCTTTCTGGGTGCCTAATCCGGTCAATGGCAGACATAGAATGGTTCCAACCACAGGGGGGGGGGGGGTTCTATAAGCCATTGCTCCTTGTGCCTCTCTGAGGGGACCAGGTTCTGGCTCGTGGTTCTCGATAGTCATTAGAACTCCATTCGAAGGACTGTTGCCACGGTCTAATATATGCATGTCAGCCCAGTAATCTCCAGGAAGCCTCTGGGACTTGCCCAGAAAATAGCATTTCATTATTCAACACTGTTTTTTACCCAAAGAGCCTTAACAAATAACACATTTGCCGTTGAGTGGGATATCTGGGAACATAGTCATAAAAAAACTGGGAGTGTACTAATGTGTTGGAAAATCTGTTTAGCAGTATGTTTTGTATTCAAATTTAAATGGGCAAAATGTGTAATATAATTAAATCAGTACTGTAATATAATACAGTACAGTATATGAATAAAGGCCTTTTCCTAGTTGCCAGTCATTATGTATATAGTACTGTATACAGTGATAATACTGTACTTAGTTTTTTCCAAAATGGACTAATTCTGGTATTTGTGCAACAGATGGTACCTCAAATTGACCTTTTAGAGGAGGGTGTGTTGAAAGAAGAGGTGCTGGTGGATGATTCATACGTATGCCAGTTCTGTGGACATTCCCTTGACAGCTATGTTGAGCTGCGCACTCACATGAAACTTCATGCTCATCAGAAGGTGAATTTTTGTTTGCCTGTTTATTACCTATTGATGATTTTGAGAGTTGTTTAATGTACGCCACCTGGCCTGTGGCCAGTCTTGCGTGGTGACTGTCTGGTCTGCCGCCAGCCTTCCCTTGTAATTGTCAGGTTTGTGAGACTGTTTTGTCCTCTTAACTGCTTTATTATATTTATATTACAAAAGTTTTTATTGCAGTTCATAAGCTACATAATGATGATTGAAGAGAACACAAAATGCCAAGAATGCTATAAAGTCATACTAAGTTGACAGGAGATTTTTGAGATAATGTTGCACCTGTAAGAGGTTTTGATAAGGTGCCAGCAGGCAAACCACCATCTCCAGATAAAGTTCATACACAACCAGGTGTTTCTCATTTCATGATCACTAACTATTAGATAGCTTTAAAATGTGATTTATTATTAATAAAAAAATCCCAAGTATAAGCATCCTGTGGTTTGTGTGTATTGCATTATGTTGATTCAGAATTATGCTCATAAGCACAATTATACTGGGAATAAATTTACTTCGGGTCTTTATCTTTAACATAAAATCACTTAAGCTCACAGGTTACATAACCCCATTTGAATCCAAACCTTCCTTACCATTAATTACTTTACTACTAAAACTTAAGTGAATTAAAAGATCCAAAAATATACAAAATATTTGAGTTACTTTACATTCTGCTAAAATAAAATAACTGCATTACTGTTACTGATGCTAAGTAAATGAAACTCAAACTGTTATTGAATTTGAATATTTACCAAATCCGAATGATTAGTTAAATAATTCAATTAAATTAGTTAAATCATTTAAGGTCCAGTAGTGCAGTCAGATTTGTTCTTGACTCGGTCAGGAATTCCGGGTTTGAATCCCAGGTGGGGCAGAAATGGTTGGGCACATTGCCTAAAGCCTCTGTCCATCTAGCAGTAAGTAGGTACCCAAGGGTTAGTCAGCTTGTTGTGGGGTTGTATCCTAGTGAAACGTTAGTAATTCAACCCTGGAAGGATGGTTGGGGGCTTCATTATAAGCCTAATATTTTCTGTATGAATTAACTATTTGTCTGTCCCCAGACACAATGAATTATGAATTAAATGAAGTTAAGTGCACAAAAGAATTTGACTTCAGTCACCCTTCAAATATAAGGGAAATCCTTGTGTCAATTAATCTAGTGAGCTGCGGGTATTGGTGGAAATCTTAGCAACCTCCTGTACACTAGGAGCACGTTGTGTGGCTGGGACACAACCACCCTCATTGCAACCCACAGCCTACATGGTTATCTTCCTCTTTACTTTAATGATATTACTGAGTATTTTTTAGTTAGCATTAGCTTTCTGGAATGGATGTAATTAATAACAGATGTAATGTTAAGGGGAAATAGCAGACCTAACCTTTTTCTCACAATTTATTATACATTAATTCACATTTAGTTACAGAAACATGATTACATAAATCAACCAAACATCAATCCACCAACCATGACTCCACCAACCATGACTTCACCAGACATAACCCATCAGATGCCTTTGCCAGCTGTTCATTTGAATTCTGTATTAATTCAGTTCTCTGCCATCCACCCCGTGAACACCCACATCTCACATAGGTGAAAATACTGTCTCGGCTCACTTATTTGGATAAGCGGAATCCTTACAAGGGAAGTCCAAAAATGACCATACTGTATTTGCAATTTGTTGTATACCGCAACCAGTATAATTCAAATTTCCACACACTCATAATTTATATTTTTTATTTATAAAGAAACTTCAGTCTACCTTGATGTAGTTCATCTTGTTTGATACTGTAGTTCCTGAAAATTTATGTAACCTAATTTCTGATAATCTTGATTTCTGTCTGGATATAGTGAAGGTCAGGATATAGGTCAGAAAATTATCTGGATGCGATTTTGGCCAGATAGCCCAAATACTATACTGTACTGTATTCAGTTCAGCAGCCTTTGGATAACAGAGCTCATACAATACTCATTAATTGACACAGCCCAATCATACCCTCTCCGGTCAGTTTTAAGGAATGGCACACTCACAAGCATGTTCATTTAGTGGACCCTGAGGAATCACACAACTGATAACTTGTTTACACCGTGTGTGTGTGTTTGTGTTTTTTTTTTTATGTTGATTTCATGTTATTGGATGTTGAAAGAGTGGATGAAAGGTGGATGGATGATGGTGGGTGACTATGTAAGGGTACAGTAGAAAGGTGTATGAGGTTTTTATCTCTTATCTCTTATGGTTAGGTTTGAGAATGGCGTGTGCTCTGTTTGACAGTCATACTTGTGATTACTTGAAGATGTTTGCTAACCTGCATGACAAGGAGTTGCTATTCTATGACAACCCAGTTGTTGTTTTAGCTGGTGTCTATAAGGATGGGTTTGGCTTGAATCATGTCAGTAGGGGATGATTTTAATGGGATTCAAAACCTGTGCCAGGATTCAAATAATGAAATCATAGTAATGTCACGCCTCATGCATACCATGTATATAACACAAAATTTTCTCTTATGGTTAGGTTAGGTAATGGTTAGGTTAAATTAAAGAGTAGGAAAGGTGTAGACAGGCGAAGCTTTTCTCAGCCCATGGACCATACTTGATGGTTTGGCTTGCTAGAAGGCAAGTAAACTCGGATAAAAGGAGGTTTATCCACTGCACTGCACACCTGTTTTTGGCAAAAACTTCTTAGTGCAATTGTCAAGGACATATTTTTGTTGTTTTTATAAATGTTCAGGTAAAGTTAATGTCAAAATGTTTTCAAACTCAACCATTTTCATTTCAAAACACAAAGAGTAATGAAAACATTAAAAAACATTAAAATATAGCCTATTTAAAATAAAAATAGCACAGCTCTTGGAGCGCCTAAAGGTGCTTTGCGCAGTGCAGTGGTTAAAGCCTAGGGCAAAATCAGTGAGAGCAGAGCAGTTGGTGCATCAGTGACCCAGAACAGTCAGAGAGCACAGTCGAGGTTCCCTCGGACCTTTGTGGTCCGGACCTTTATCATGTGTCTGCATCCATCAGCTGGATCATGGGTTATAATAGTAATTATAAGTTTACATTTCTTTTCTAAATGATGAACGATCTGTTAATAAAAGATTCTGAAACAAAACTCATTATTACATTATTAAATATATAACAATTTCCCCATCTCGCACACTAAAATTATAAACAGTTCCCTTCATATTATTTCAAAGTCCAGTACCATGTGGCATGTTTGCCTTATCTAAATTGTACGTTTGCTTTGTGTAATTTTAATACATTTTACAATAAGTCCAGTCACTAACGCACAATTTCAGGAGAGGACATTATGGTGACCTTAGAAATTTTTTTAGTGAGTATAATTGGACAGACTTGATGCTAGGCAAGGAAGTGAATGAGATGTATGTCAAGTTTTGTGAAATATATGATAAAGGCACAAAAAAATTTATACCAAAACAGAGATGCAGAACTAGGAAACAGGATTGGTTCAATAGAAATTGCGAGAGGGCTAGAGACCAAAAGACACAAAAATGGAATCTATACAGGAAGAGGCCGAACCCCCAAACATACCAGCGATACAAAGATGTGAGAAACAACTACACGGCAGTGAGGAGAGAGGCAGAAAGAAATTTTGAAAAGGGATTGCAGACAAATGTAAAACAGAACCAGGTCTATTCTATAAATTCATAAACAACAAATTGCAGGCAAAGGATAATATTCAGAGGTTGAAAATGGGAAATAGATTCACGGAAGATGAAAAGGAAATGTGTGAAATGCTAAACGAAAAGTTCCAAAGTGTGTTTGTACAAAATGAAATCTTTAGGGAACCAGATACAATAAGAATTCCAGAGAACAACATAAAGCACATAGAGGTGACTAGAAACGAAGTTGAAAAAATGCTCAAGGAGCTCGGTAAGAACAAAGCAGCAGATGGCGTTTCACTATGGGTTCTGAGAGAATGTGCATCTGAGCTCAGCATTCCACTTCACCTGATCTTTCAGGCATCCCTGTGTACAGGAATCGTAGCAGACGTGTGGAAACAGGCTAACATAGTTTCAATCTACAAAAGTGGCAGCAGGGAAGACCCCCCTCAATTATAGACCTGTATCATTGACAAGTGTAATAGTGAAAGTATTGGAAAAACTAATCAAAACTAAATGGGTAGAACACCTAGAGAGAAATGATATAATATCAGGCAGACAGTATGGTTTTCGATCTGGAAGATCCTGTGTATCGAATTTACTCAGTTTCTATGATCGAGCCACAGAGATATTACAGGAAAGAGATGGTTGGGTTGACTGCATCTATCTGGACCTAAAAAAGGCTTTCGACAGAGTTCCACATAAGAGGTTGTTCTGGAAACTGGAAAATATTGGAGGGGTGACAGGCAAGCTTCTATCATGGATGAAAAATTTTCTGACTGATAGAAAAATGAGGGCAGTAATCAGAGGCAATGTATCGGAATGGAGAAATGTCACAAGTGGAGTACCACAGGGTTCATTTCTTGCACCAGTGATGTTTATTGTGTACATAAATGATCTACCAGTTGGTATACAGAATTATATGAACATGTTTGCTGATGATGCTAAGATAATAGGAAGGATAAGAAATTTAGACGATTGTCATGCCCTTCAAGAAGACCTGGACAAAATAAGTAGATGGAGCACCACCTGGCAAATGGAATTTAATGTTAATAAATGTCATGTTATGGAATGTGGAATAGGAGAACATAGACCCCACACAACCTATATATTATGTGAGAAATCTTTAAAGAATTCTGATAAAGAAAGAGATCTAGGGGTGGTTCTAGATAGAAAACTATCACCTGAGGACCACATAAAGAATATTGTGCAAGGAGCCTATGCTATGCTTTCTAACTTCAGAATTGCATTTAAATACATGGATGGCGATATAGTAAAGAAATTGTTCATGACTTTTGTTGTGCCAAAGCTAGAATATGCAGCTGTTGTGTGGTGCCCATATCTTAAGAAGCACATCAACAAACTGGAAAAGGTGCAAAGACATGCTACTAAGTGGCTCCCAGAACTGAAGGGTAAGAGCTACGAGGAGAGGTTAGAAGCATTAAACATGCCAAAACTAGAAGACAGAAGAAAAAGAGGTGATATGATCACTACATACAAAATAGTAACAGGAATTGATAAAATCGACAGGGAAGATTTCCTGAGACCTGGCACTTCAAGAACAAGAGGTCATAGATTTAAACTAGCTAAACACAGATGCCGAAGAAATATAAGAAAATTCACCTTCGCAAATAGAGTGGTAGACGGTTGGAACAAGTTAAGTGAGGTGGTGGTGGAGGCCAAGACCGTCAGTAGTTTCAAAGCGTTATATGACAAAGAGTGCTGGGAAGGCGGGACACCACGAGCGTAGCTCTCATCCTGTAACTACACTTAGGTAATTACACTTTTACTGTAATGTATTTTGCTAATAAACTGTGCCTGTAGTCTATATGTAAGAAAAAACACTAATCATATGATTTAAAAATGCAAATGGAAGGACAGTACTAAAAGAAAATTTATATTTTCTTTACTTTAGAATCGGTGAATGATGCTAGTCCCAACTCTTGCCATCCAGTCATGAGGGTGGAGGAGTATTCATGCTCTGCAGAAATGTGGATGGGTTTTCCATTTATACTCTCACAAAAATTAATCGCAGGCTTAATTACATCTTTATTTGCCTTGCAGGTGTATAAATGTATCCAAAAAAATTGTGAGCTGGCCTTTGATGACTTGGACTCCTTTCTGGACCACATCCGGACACACGACCGTGACCTGCAGTATCGCTGCCATACTTGCTCGAAGGTGTTCTCCTCTCTCAATACTCTCGGCTATCACCAGTATGAACACTCGGTGTACCCTCAATCAAAGAAAGCTATAGGTCCAAGGTGAGGACCTATTCTAATTAAAGTGATTTTATATGATGTGTTTAACAATTAGTTATGGGATTTTCCTTTTGATCATTGTTAGGTCTTACTTAGCAACACTCGTGCTGTCACACTTTGCTGCTGTACTGTATTTTCCTCTCCCTTTTGATTGCCGTTTCAGGGAAAGTCCTTTTCCTATTGTTATAACGTCCTGTTTTATATCCCCCTTGGTTAATGACACAACTTCATTTCATAATCCCATGTAACTTCATTTCATAATCCCATGTATCAGGGTACGTTGTGTATGGGTGGGTGAGATTAACTCATTATCTTGCACTATACACTGGAAATATGGTTGTTGTATGGCATATGAAATATCCATACAATACATGGATAATTTTTAGTCTTTCATCCAGTACATCATTCATAATTTGGCACCACAGTTAGTTGACTTTTTACAGTTAGTTCTGGCAGGTGTCTGATTCTTGAATATTAGATTATTTATTGTACTGTCTATAAATTATGGCATATCAGAGACCACAGATTTTATTGAACTTTTCAGCTATTTTCGATGTACGAAGTGTATGAACAAATATGCAAGTGCAGAAGCATTAGAGCATCATCTGCGTACATCTTCTCATCATTATCCTTGCAAACAGTGTGGAAAAATATTCACATCAGAACGATTGCTGCGCCGTCATTTGCACGTTCATGGAACAGTCAATTTATTCACCTGTGCTGTAAGTATTGAATTTACATAAGTGTATAGTGCAACCAGTTTGTTCACTTGTGTTATTTTAAATTTGGTAGAACGTGGGTCTGGTCACCAGTACTCTAAATATTAGATTTGGTAAAAACCTTGTCTATTTACATGAGCTGTGAGTACAGTACCATTTTTCTGTAGTTGTGGTAGAAGAACCAATCGGTTCATCTATGTTGTACTAGATTTGGTAGGAGAGCCAGCCAATTTACCTGTGCTGTATGTACAATATTATATTTGACAGAAGAGCTAGTCAGTTCACCTTTGCTATGGATGCAGGATTAGACTTGATAAAAGGTTCTCCAACTCCAAGATGGAAGGTTTACCAAGCCCCCAAAAGTTGGAGAGACAGGCATCATTTTATTTATACGTGTACTTTCTTTCTTAGTGGGCACTGCCTGGTACGTTTGTAATTCAGGATATCACATCTAAAGATATTAATGAATATATAAGCAGGTTTTAGACAGAAAAATGTATTGGAAGGTAGACAAAGATTTAGATAGACTTTTACTGTGATAATGGATCTTTTAGCAGCAAAATCCTAATGTAGAGTACTTGTTTTGTACCTGTTTTCAACAGGTAAATTAAATCATGCAACATGCTTCAAATCTCACAGGTTAACTATTATTAATATTTTGGCACTTCAATGGGGAATAAAAAAGATTTATGTTGTGTAATTATTCATTTTCTGTGGGGAACCCCGTCAGCTCCCTGAAGCTAACCGAATTGATAAGTGCTATTCAGTATTAGTTTGGGGTCATCAGTCACAGGAGTCTTCATGCCTACCGGGGACCATGCGCTAGAACCTACCCGCCCCCCCCCCCCCTCTCTCCAGGGGAGGGGTAGAGGGAGCAATGGCCTATGAGCACTTTAAATGTAAAGTTTGTCATAATTGCCATCCATTGACTGGAGAAGGGCCCAGAAAGATAGACAAATCAAAACAGACCACTGTCTGGTTGAGCTGTGCAATCTACAGCTTAGAAGCTCAAAATAACTCTCCTGAAAAGAACCCAATCAATCAACACTTCATGCAACTAGCATTCCCGCTCATTAATTCTACCCCCTCCCCATAAGGGAGGAGGGGGAGCAGCTAGCCCACCACTCTAGTTCGTGAACGATGAAAACCGCCGACCGAAGGGAAGGAGGGTGTCAGGGAACCTCCGGGGCTCACCCAGAAACAGCCGTTTTATTGCATTCGATGCTGGTTTTCTGTGGGGAGCCCCAATGGCTTCCTGAAGCTACCTATTCAAAGATAGGTAAAAGAAGGGACTTACCCGGGAGGTGGCAGCACGGCAGGTTTCAAGACAATGAAGAGACAGATGGCCTCGACAGGTGCCCCAAGGTCACATATACCTGGCTGGGGTAGGGGGTGACGAGCAGGAATGGTAAACCAAACAATCGCCATGAAGTGGCGATTGTTTGGTTTCGTTCTAGGGGGAGTTATTTTTATCTTTTAGGATATAGATTGCAAATGTTAACCCGACAGTGGTCTGTTTTGATTTGCCTACCTTTCTGGGTCCTTCCCCAGTCGATGGCAATTGTAACATAATTTAAATGTAAAGTGCTCATAGGCCATTGCTCCCTGTGCCTCTCTGAGAGGGCCAGGTTCTGGGTCATGGTCCCCAGTAGGCATAAGGACTCTTGCGACTGATGACCTCAAACTAATATAGCGCATATCAGTTCGGTTAGCATCAGGGGAGCCTCCGGGGTTCACCCAGAAATTGGTGTTTCATTACATTCAACGCTTTTTTTTTCCTATGTATATTGTATATATATATATATATGTGTGTGTGTGTATGTATGTATGTAAATTTTTTCTTGTGTTGCAGCAATGTTCTAAGGAATTTAAATCCGAATACTCCTTAAAGTTGCACCAATTAATACACACTGGAGAGAAGCCTTTTGAGTGCCACTTATGTAAGACTGCCTTCAACCGCCGAGATAAATTGAAACGTCACATGCTGATCCACGAAGCCAAAAAATTCAAGTGTCCTTTTAGGTCTACTGTTGGGTGCCAGAAGGAATTTAGCAGACCTGGTAAGTACTGTTCTCTCTTCAGAGTTGCCAGATTTGTGCAGTATAAGAGCTGCAATTTAATAAAGTATATTTCCAGGGAGCCTTCAGGGCTCACTAAGAAAATGGCATTTCATTACATTCAACACTGATTTTTTTATGCACAGATTAGCTTTCTCCTGCAGTCTCTCATTTTTAGATTGCATTATAACTTTCCACTTACTTCAGTTATGTTTATTCATTTAGTTTTTCCTATTTAAATCTTAAATTTTCTACTACTGTATTTATTCCATTTACGTGTGTTATTCTTCTGCCAGATAAATTGCGGCTCCATATGATGACCCATGCAGGTGGCCGTGCACGGCGTGGACGAGGCCGTGGTCGAAGCTCCAGTACTGCACGCATTGACCGACAAGTGAAGACAGAGGTCCTTACACCTGAAGAATCAAATTGTTCCATCTGCCATCATGTAAGAATTGTTCTTCCTATATGCATCACTTTTGCAGATACTTTTATAGTGTCTTGTAGAACGCGACATTAACACCTTCAGAAAGCGCATTTCATTTTGCTTTTGTTTATGGCTTGTTATTTTTCTGTCTTGTTTATAACTTGTTTCAATAAATAAAGAGCATTTAATATATATGCAGTTGAAATTTGTCAGGTTCTTTTCCTGTATATTTATCTGCATATATTTTTTCAGTCTTTTCAACATGAAGGTGATCACATGTGCTTTATAGAAGAAAATGAAGATAATGGAATGGTTGGTTGTGAGAGCAGAGATCCTGCTGCCCCAGTGTCACAGGCAGGGAGGATACGTCCCATCCGCCAAGCTGTAGTACGAAGAGCCAGAGATCAAGCCAACAGTAGAAGAGGGGGCCGAAAAAAGCGTGGAGGATGTGGGCACCATACCCAACAGCCCCATAGACAAAATCAGCAGCAGGAGCTACAGGAAAAACATACTGTACAATCACAGGAAATTCAACACCAGGTAGAGGAAAGTATCTTGGGTGTGCCAGCTGTTGACTGCATCACAGAGCTCAAATGTGATGCCGATACCCAGAATGTAGAGATTATTTATATCCCATTCTCTCTACCACTAACTCGACCAATCCAGGCTGAATTGATGCGTGCTATGTCTAGTGAGGAAGGTGGTCATGTTGATAGTGACTTATTAGAGGGAGGTCCCACTATTACTTTAGATGGCACTACATCATCTCTCTTAGTAGGGAACAGTACAATGGTTCCCCTTGTTAATCATGCCAGTGTACATGAAATGGATCATTTAGAGCCCACAAACATTCTGAAGGAGACAACAGATCTGCAAGTTATATATAACTCAGCCACAACCCAACAGGAAAGCAATGATGCATCCCAGCTGGTGGAGACACAATTGACTAGTAACCACCTTCACGGTGGACAGCTCGGTCACGACGCCACCCTGGATGAGTCTCGGCTCACTCACTCGCATCTCACTCATCTTAACATCTTGCCTGATCAGACTTGATATGATGTGCAATAAGTTACAGCCATATTCTTTTTCACCGACATTGGTGTGGTCTTCGAGGAATACAAGTCAACCACTTTCTATTCAATAAATAGTGTAAAGTTGAAACATACTGTATTGCAATAATTTATTGTTATAATTTGCAGTCACTATACAGCATGTGGGGGAAAAAAAGCCTTACCAGGGAAGATTTTCTATGTAGACAATCAGTTCTAAATTGTAGATGTATGTAAAGTTTTTAAATTATGACCTAAAATATTTAACTTATAAGCTTATAGGCCAGTAATGATATCACGTGTATAATGTGTATATATTGATGAACTTAACAAATTTTATAAAGAAACTCGGTAATATCTTTAAGTAAACAAGCCATCTAATTGACTTAGAATTTGGTTGTCCAGTTGAAGTTGAAATATTTTTATGTTCTCTGGTGGATCCCTGAAGCTGTTTCACCAAGATGGATTTTCCTTCTGGTTTATACCACCCATAGGAGTTCGGTTTGGCCTACTGGACACCAGAGTTAAAACCTGGCTGCCCTCACAGTGTCACAGGTAGCTGGAGATTGTTGCAATCATTCACACACACAAATCATCCAGAAAGTAACTGAAGCCATAAAACTACGAAGTTCATATAAAATGAAGCTCTGAAACAGCCAAACAACTTTGCAGTTAATTCACTCAATTCCAAATGATTCCCCCAAAACCAGCTTGAACCCCCCCCCCCTCCTCTAGTGCAAATAGCTGCCAACAGATGGCTCCCCAGGAATTCCAGGCTCCTGCCCCAGCTAGTAGCCAGTCTTGTCACTGATATCTAAGAATTTAGACCACCATTGGAGTCGCCAGCTATAGATGAGTCTAACTTCATTTGAAAGATAAATAATGCCCATCCTTTGGACTTTGTCCTGTGAGGACCATTTGCCTGTATGTCATTCCTATATTTATTATTTGCTTCATGTGCTTGCGTTTGAGCCTCATTTCTTGCATGGACTTGGTCTAAATATTTGCTACGAGCTGCATGTGTTTAGGGGCAGCCCTTTCCTAGGCACTCGTTTACTCAAACCTAAGAGTGAACCCTTGCACCGAGAGAGTGACTTTTCTGCTGTGTTTGGGAGTTTGCCACGGGGGGCGTCAGGCTACAAGGATGGAGAGTGTCACTCTCGTAGTACAGAGTTTTTACTCCTATGCAGGAGACAAGGCTTGACTTTGTTGTGGGGCTCACATGCTTATTCATCTGGCATGCTGCTGCTGATGCCCTTCATAGCAAAGCTTAATCTGTAGGCTGCATTCGGTATTTGTTATTTTAGTCGAGTGTCCATAGTGCCTGATTATTGTGCTGGTTACACTCCTTTGTGCCCTGGTAACTCATCTGCAGTGTGGCTCATATTGATTGGCCCTGCACTTGCAAGTTTAGGAGTTGCTTGTCAATTTTGCCACAAATTGATGGTCAGTTCTACCATCTCCTCCTCCTGCCTGTTGGGTGGGTGTTACTCTACCTTGCCTCCAACAATGTTTGGGTTTGCAGGTTTGCTTTTATTGTTCACATCTCCATCTTTTGGTTTTGTTTCTTTGTTTTATAGTGACGAGGCTCTGCAGGTAAGTGATGCTTCAAGTTCTCTTGCCCGTTTGTGTGCAGCATTTTGTACTTGGGTGGTTGCCCTGGAGTTGGCCCGTTCTATTTTTGGGGCTTTTAGGTTGAAGTGGCTGGTAATTCTGCTGGTACCTTTTTTTTCGCAGCTCCTTCCATTGTCTGCCTGGCCTCGTGCATTTCTGTGACCTGTTGGGGTCCATGGACGTGTCTTATTTTCAGAGATTTCTATTGGCCCACTTTGCAGATTTTCCACTTTGGGCAGACATACTTTGGTTCCTCCTGCAAGTTCTGGACCTTATTTTCTGCTTGTCCCGGTTGCCTTTGGATACGGGTCGGCTTTTGCCTTTTTGTTCAGTTCAGGGTTCCTTCTTCACCCTGGCTTGCTGGCTCTCATAACTAGATTGTCTGAAGTTTCTGGTGCAAATCGATCACTATTTGTAAGATGAATTGTTGGTGGCCTAAACCCCTAAACTGCACAACACGTCATGTAACGTGTTGGAGTACTACGCAAGATTTAAACATCCCGCAGATAAACAGGGTTCACCTCGCCTTCATCAGGGCTCTTGTAAACACACCATTTTCTTCTTTTAAATCGTGGGCAACATTCCCGGGTGTTAGGGCCTTGGTACTGAGTGAGCCACCAAGGTTGGCGCACGCAGCATGAGCTCACAGCACTGCTGTTCAGCTTGTGACCACAGCATCGCCTAAAAATGTCAACATATATATGTACATGCTGTTATTTAGTGATGATAGCATTACAGAAGACCCCTGACTGTGATAAAAATGACCAGGATTCTGATGATAGCAGGATAGTTGTGATAATTAGCGCTGTAGTGGGAGGAGTAATCTTGGTGGAGGGAGGGAGGTAGCATTATCTGCTGACTGTGTGATTACCTTTTACTGTCTGGACTCACTATACCAGCTTAGTAGTTCGCTATGGTAAACAAAACATGCAGATATTTATATATAATGTCTGTATATAGCGAATAAAAGCAAAAACAGTATGGTGGGAAGAGAATGTTGGTGAGGGAGGGAAGGAGGGAGTGGCAGCCAGTAGCAGGCTAACTGGCGTGTGGTGGTCACTCCTTGCTGCTGTTTGAGTCAGCATACCAACTTAGTGGTTCCTTATGGTGAACACAAATGTAGATACTTATATATAATGTATATATAAATTGTGTAATGACAGCAAAAGGAATGTTGGGAGATGCCATTTTGGTGAGGGAGGTGGTGGCATCTGCATGACTTTTCATGCTGTGTGAGGGTGGCTTATGTAGTGGTGGAGCATATGGGCACTGCCCATTTGGGCCCATATGCTCTTTGGGCACTATACCGGCTTAATTGAACAGTTATGGTGAACAGAACATGTAGATACTTATATATAACATCTGTATTTAGCGAATAAAAGCAAAAACAGTATGGTGGGAGGCGAGTGAGGAGTTTTTGAGGGAGGGAGTGGTGGCGAGTGGCTGGCTGACAGATGTGGCCACCCCTTATTGCTTTTTGACTCGCATTATCAACTTAGTAGTTCATTATGGTGAACAAAATTTACAGATACATACAACCTGTGTTTATAGTATTATAACTAAGTTCATTTGTTCACGGTTTTATGAACAAAATAATTGAATCAATAATATGCACACCATAATTTTGAGTACAGCGATGATTCACACATTTTATTATATAACTATATCACACTACAGGCTATTGAATAATATTACAGCAAAAAAGGAAGAAAAATCAGACATTGAAATAATTAGGTAATTATATCTTTGTGGCACCCCCCCCCCCCCCCCCCCTCCCTAGCCTGATAGCTTCGGCAAAGCAGAACCCGACGCTTGCTGGGTCAGCTCCTCTTTTTTGCCAGACTTCCCAGACCTATTGCAGCCAAAATATGCCACTTATGATTTTTTATTTTATTTTTCCTGTAATCAGGGAACACAGATTAACGGATTAAGATTTTTTTTCTTTTGTTTTTGACTGTGCGCCTGTGGGTGACGAAGTCCAAATAGCCCTTAGCAACACGGGTTAATATTTATTTCCTCTTGGTTCACAGCTGCCCCTTTGGTTTGGTATGTATCCTTAAGGTGCTGTTTTTGTTGGCCCTCGGTTCCAGTTGTCAGGTTGGGGAGCTTCATGCTCTCCTCTGGAAGAATGGATATTGCTAATTTGTCCCTGGTGGGCAGTTTCTTAAATATTTTTTTTTCTTTTCTGGCTAAAACAAAAAGAGGGTTGGCTTCCAGAAGGAGTTCTTTGGAGATTGATGCTTGTTGTGTCCAACTTGGGGGTGTATCATTTGTCCTGTCATGACGGTTCATCGTTACCTGTGCATCATTCACTCTGCTTCAGAGGACACTTGATCCGGTGTCCTTGGTTCCTTGTTCCTGGACTCAGTTGTCCAAAATGTCACTGAATCTGGCTAGCCTGCAGTCTACCCTTGGGCCCATGATGTTAGCAAGTTTGTGGTTTTGGTTGCTGTGGTTGCTAATACAGTATGTCATAGGCTGATATTTAGTCTCGGGGGTTTTGGAGGGTCTGGCAACTCATTATTTGGTCAGTGTTCCTGGTCCCAGTCGGGCTTGTATTACTCTGGGTTGGGTTTCCTGGCCTGGAGTCTCATCTTTGTGAATGTTACCAATCTCCTCCTCCCAGGTATGTCCCATGTTTTCTGAGTTCAGTGTTGTTAGGTTCGGAAAGCTGTAAGTGGTTCCTCCAGAAAACCAGCGTTGAAGATAATGAAATTCTTCTTTCTGGTGGAGCCTTGGTAGCTCCCTGATTCCCTTAGTTTGTGGTTTATCAACTCCGAATGGATAATGGCTGGGGCAGGTGCCTGACACCCTTGGGGGTGTCACCTGTTGGTGACTATTTGCACTAGGGGGTTCAAGGTATTTTTGAGTGAATCAGTTGTGGCGTTGTTTGGCTCTTTCAGTGCTTCGTTTTATATGAACCTTGAATTTTGTTTGTATAGCTTCACTTATTTTGTGGATGCTTTGTTGCTGTGGTTGATGACATTCCCCAGCTCCGTGTGCCTCTGTAAGAGGGGTTAGGGCCAGGTTCTGGCTGTGATTCCCAGTAAGCCAAACAGGACTCCTATGGCTGATGTGACTGAGTAGGGGGATGCTATCTCAGTGAGATAGCTTCATCGATCCACCAAGGCACCACCAAAAAGATGCATTTCATTACAGTATATTCAGCACTGGTTTTTAAATCTCTTGACATTTTTTACGATATTTAAAATTTTGGCAACTTAACCCCGAAAAATGTATAATATTTAAATTTCAGATCCGGAATAATTATAACGATCTGCATTCCCATCGGTAATGGTGAATGGCAGTGTACAGTACTGTAAAAGTGGTCTATAAACCACAATATTTATATATAGAATTACTGTATAAAAGTAGTAAATATTACCTCTGGAAGGTGATTAAACTATTCATTTTATTTAATATTTGTTATTGTCACACTTTCATTCAAATATTCTTGCAAGTCAAATTGTGGTGCTGTACATATTTCCTTCCATGGACGGACACTTCACCTTGACAGCATCTCGTTGTGATGGTGGAGAGTTGCACAATAAAGCTTCTGGTGAGAAATTCCAGATTGGCTTGTAGCATCTGTTGCATGCAACATTGAAGAACTTGCTGGGTATCTTGCCATGGTATTTACAGGCTTCATCAACACCCATTTGCAGATCATATGCACTGTTCATTATTTCCTGATACAGTATGCTGTAAATTCCAGTTTGCTGGCAATTATGAA